AGAACGGTACAGATGGTAGTCCGTAGGAGCTAAGTCTGGAGAATAAGGTGGATGGGGAACAGTGATCCAACCAAGCTCCAATAACTTTTGGCGTGTCGACTTTGCTACATGGGGTCTGGCATTATCATGTAAAAAGTAAATTCGATCTTGTTTTCCTTTGAGTTTTTCTGCAACCCGATCCAATTGCTGGCAGTAGGGATCAGCTGTGATGTTGCAGCCATCTGGAAGAATTTTCCAACGAATAATCCCTTTGACTCCCCACCACACGCTCAGCATCACCTTCTTTGGGTGTAGATCAGTCTTAGGCGTTGGTACACCTGCTTGACCAGCGCTCAGCCACTGGCGTCTACGTTGGTAGTTAATATACAACACCCACTTCTCATCACCAGTGATAAGATTGCGGAGCCATTGATAGTTGCGATGAGAAGTCAACAATTCCATACAAGCATCAACCCTATATTGCATCTGAAGTGGTGATAACTCATGGGGTATCCAAACTCCATATTTCCACATTTTGCCTAATTCGTACAGATGTGTTTCCACTGTAATATGAGAGCACCCAAGACGCTCTGCTAAACACCGTGTAGTCAATCTAGGATCTTCTTCGATAAGCTCCTTTAAGAGATCCGTATCCACCTCTAGTGGTCTACCAGTATGAGGTAAATCATCGAGTTCGAAGTTACCATTCTTGAACTCATTGAACCAACGTTGCGTTGTACGAACGGAGAGCGCATCCTTGCCCATCGTATGGCATATGTTGCTTGTTGATTCTGTTGTTTTGTGATCCAGACGGAATTCATGAAGCAGAAGCAACCGGAGCTCTCTACGAGATATTTTCATTTCTAATTCGAGATCAGTATCTATATCCATAGTTTTATTGTTGTTCGAAAGATATTTACACTTCCTTTATATACTCTTAGTATGGAAACTTCTAGAACTTTCTTGACTGTTCTAGGAAGTTACGAAAAAAAACGACAAAAATTTCTTACCAACCCAATATTTATTATTATTTAAGGTAATTGGCATAATTGCCATAGAAATCCTCGGTGGTGTTTATTGTCCATTGTCGCCGGATGATCCTCAAAAGCGACTTCAACAGCTGGTATTTGACGTAAGTGGTCGTTTGGTACTTATGCATTCAATGACACCTGGCAAAATAGATGATGTTCACATATCTTATATTGATGAACTTATTGTGACGAATAAACAAGTCGATGATGTCGATGTCGAATGTCTTTCATCGACCAGACTAACATCAAATGATTTAGCATATATTCTTTTTACAAGTGGTTCTACTGGAACTCCTAAAGCGGTACGTTGTTTGTCGCAAGAAGGATTGTTTTCAATATTGAAGAACGATATCGATTTCTGTGTTTAGAGTAAATTTCGTCATCGAAATTTTCTTTCCTGGTTGCAGGCC